CACAACTCTTTATAAAGTCATTTCCAGAATTATCAAAATGAGGCTAAAGATGTTCATATATGAGGCTGTACAGTAGAATCAAGTAGGCTTTGTGAAATGTAGGCTCCTCTGTGAGAATATATATCCTCATAGCCACAGAGTTGATTTCCAATTTTCAAATCAACTTTCATGTGCCAAGGGAGGTTCATAGAGGCTGTCTACAAATCGATCTTACTAAGGCGTATGACAGAGTGGGTTGGGAGTTTATGTTGAATGTCCTCAAAGCGATCGAGCTTCTAGAATTGTTCATTGGGTGGATAAAGGAGTGTGTTACTACAACTTCGTTTAGTATCGCTTTAAATGGGGAGCTTCTTGGTTTCGTTCCAGGGAAGAAAGGTCTGAGGCAAGTTACAAAAATTATATGGTTAATATAGAAATTAAGTTATTATATGATTTTAGAAAGAAAATTATATGGTTTACACATCTTTGTTATATTAAACTTTTGTTCATGTTTAAATACTTTAATTTAAAAATATTTGTTCTCCAAAATATTAAAGTTAATACTATCCTATTGCGTGGATAACCGTTTAATCAAAAATTAAATGAGAAATATATAATAAGATGAGCAGTAGACATTATACTAGCAATTAGACAACAGTCAACACAACCAAACCACATCAATTATACTGCACACGTCTAATGACAGAGATATCAGACCAAACCATATTTAATTATATCCAAACTCTTATATAAAATTTTGATTATCACAAAGAACCAAGATCTGTACGGTGTCGACACAAAGCAAAGAAGAGAAACAAAAACTATTTCAAACATTTCTTAACTAATCGTCGTTCGCTCATATGCAATTATGCACGTGTCTACACATGCAAATAATTTGTTCAAATATTTTATTTTGTCATCTACACCTACCACATGTAAAAGCTTAAGACCTCACTAGCTGTGATATTGATCTTTAAGGGGGGAATGAAATCAAAGAATATACCACATATAGTTTTAAACCAAATATAATTATATTTTCAAAATAGGTTCATTGCTTTAATGATCGTTACTATTTAAATTAAGTAAAACTTAAGTTTTGTGTGACTATATATATACTTGTAACAAATAAATTACATTTGTTTTTTAACAAAATATTTATTGGAGTTTTTCTGAATCTTTTAGTGAAGAGGTGGAGTCTAACTCTCTGCTTAAAAACCCTAAGGAGATGATAACACTACTTGCTATTTATATATGTCCTTCAAAGCTTTTTGAATTCTAAATTCTCTTTAAATGAAATAGACAAACCTTTTTTAGTTTGGATGGTGAAAATTTGATTAACATACCAAAAGAGTGGTGCCGTAGTGGTTACTTTGTTAGTAACGTCATTTCACGGTATTGTAACTAGCTAGTTCCGATCCGTAGAAATATACTCACTCCGACCTCAATTCGCGGTTATCATAAAGAAAAAAAAAGTTTGATTAGTACATTACATTCTTGATTACAAAAAGATGAAAAAATACTTTGAATAGCGGAGGTAAAAAATGTGGAGTTGAGAAAAATAGAGAAGTAAGTATTTAGTGAAATCACCTGTTTATATATAAACACAATAATAAGTAGAAATTTTTTTGTCTAGTGTATAAGAGTCTAAAAAGTTTATACATTGGTTTATACACTTAGTCTCGACTTTTTATTTATCTAGAATGAACTTCCTTGTAAATTAATAGATGCAAAATTTATCGGAAAATTTCAGAGTAACGTAAGCAGAGCCGTTTTTTGTGGTTTTGTGTGTTAGGATAATAAAACTATGATTTTGATGTAGGTAAAATCGACAGTCATGGAATTGAAAATGATGTTGAGATTGCTGCACGTCGTGGAGTCGTTTATCATAAATATATATGCTGCATATAGTTAAATTCGATAGATTAACCATTTTTTGGTAAATTGATTCGATTTAATATTTTTCTACGATAATGTAAAAACAACCAAAAAAATAATAATAATAAAGACGATTATTATAATATAAAATAAAATTTTAGATATTTTAGATCATAAATTATTATCAGACGAGATAACATTAGGGGAGTACGATGGTCTTTCAATCATCGGTAGAATAAAATAGTTGACTTGATTGACCTTTAAGAGAGTACTCCTTGAATGTTTTCTTTTAATTTAGAGCTCTAGAGTTTGATTTGGACAACGCAACATCTTATTCGCACACCACATATAGTACCATTTATTATTACGAATTTAAGGCATAACTTTGGTCACGAAATCGTTAAATTTGATAGATAAGCCTGCTAACTTTGGATTGGAAAAAGTCAGTAATTTTTTGTTGGTATTTTAACCACTTATTCATTTTTTTGATCCATTTCATTATAAATGTCGTTTATTTTTTTCACATATACTATAAAAACACTTTTGTCTCCTATTTGTATCCTATAAAATTTTTTCTTATTGGCTGATACATTAAAATAATACAGATAAAGTTTATTTTTACCAAAAAATATGTATTGAAAAGGGAGACTCACAAAAATGCCCCTTTTTCAATACCCCTTTTCAAAAATGCCCCATTTGGCTGTCCATTTTTAAAAATACCCCTTTTTATGTACAAAATGACTAAATTACCCTTCTTTTAATAAAAGATATCACAAATATATAAGGAAATATAATAAAATTAGGTCCACAAAATACAAAATATTTTTTGGCGGGAAAAGTGATCCCGCAATTTTTCCCGCCAAAACACTTGTAAAAACTTGTAAAACCTTTAAAATACCTTGTAAAATTTTCCCGTAAAAATTTTTCCCGCCAAAAAATTTTTGCGGGAAAAGTGATTCCGCAATTTTTTTGGCGGGAAAAATTTACAAGGTATTTTAAAGGTTTTTTACAGGGTATTTATAAGGTTTTACAATGTATTTTAAAAGGTTTTACAACGTATTTATAAGGTATTTATAAGATATTATAAGATTTTACAAGCTATTTTATAAGGTTTTACAAGTTATAAGGTTTTACAAGTTTTTTATAAGGTTTTACAAGTTATAAATACCTTATAAAACCTTTTAAAATACATTGTAAAACCTTACAAAACACTTGTAAATACTCTGTAAAACCTTTAAAATACCTTGTAAATTTTTCCCGCCAAAAATTTTCCCGCCAAACAAATTTCGCGAAAAAAATTGCGAAATCACTTTTCCCGCAAAAAAAAATTTTTGGCGGGAAAAATTTTTGGCGGGAAAAATTTTTACGGGAAAATTTTACAAGGTATTTTAAAGGTTTTTACAAGTGTTTTGGCGGGAAAATTGCGGGATCACTTTTCCCGCCAAAAAATATTTTGTATTTTGTGGACCTAATTTTGTTTCAAATAAGGGTAAAATGGTCATTAAAAATTAAAAGGGGTATTTTTGAAAACTTAAAAGGGGACTCTCAAAGAGGGCATTTTTGAAAAGGGGTATTGAAAAAAGGGCATTTTTAACAATTTCTCTTGAAGGTTTCAAACAACACTTATTTAAAAAATATATATTTAAAACTTTAAACAATACATAATATAAAATGTAGTGGATATTGTTGCCCGTCCTATGAATCAAAAATTCTTTGTTTTAAGCATTTATTTGCTAGCTACTTCTGCAGCAGATTTATTCCACATTTAATAGAAAATAGCATTTGTTACAAAACAAAAAATATGAAAATCAAAACTTTATATATTATTGTTTTTTGTTCACATCTTAAAAACCAAAATTTAGTGAAATACTCTTAAACTTGATGATGATTGATTATTTTAAACACTTTGAAAGTGGATAAAAAAAATTTTAAATTAAAAAGGTATATAAAGAGTTAATTTGATAAATATTAAACTTCCTAAACACTTAAAGGTAAATATATATCATTGTTCCCCCAATATATTTTTCATAATGTCATGGTAGATAAGAATTGCTCCAAAAACGACCCTACTCAATTAAATAAATAAGAAAAAACAGAAAAATAAAATAAATTAAAGGCTAGTAGATTGTTTTTTTCTGAATTAATAAGTTTCTGTGAAGCTACCTTCTTATTACCGAGCGTCTCCTGTGGGTTCCCCTATACACTGTTTTCTATCACACACTTTATTGTTTACTTTTTTTTTTGGTAGGAACACTTTGTTGTTTACTTGTATGTATATTTCTGACTGGTTCCTATTTCCGAAACTTCCTTCATAAACCAAAAAAAACTAGAACAAGAACCAAAAAAATTTCGATACCGATATAGATTTTAAACTCTAGAATCGGAACAAAAACCGAAAATACCGAAACTGAATAAAATAAAAACCCAATACAACCCGACCGGTCTAGAACTGATCCGAGTATCCGAACTAGGCCTGGGCAAAATAACCGAACCATAAGAACCGAATTGGAACCGAAGCAAAAAGAATCGAACCGGAACCGAATCGAAATTTTAAAATACTCAAATGGATCCTAAATTTTAGAACCGAAAGAACCGGAACCGGAACCGGAACCGAACCGAAATATTTCGGGTACCCAAAAATACCCGAAATATGAGTTTATATCTAAAAATATATTAGTTATTTTTAGATCGAATAACCAAAAATACCCGAAATACCATCAAATATTTAGAAAATATATCAAAAAATACTTACAATATCCAAAAAATACTCGAAAATACCCTCTCTTTTTTTCGTCAAAATAAAACATTTATATTGCATTCTCAAAATCATTACAAAGTACCCAAAAATATCTAAAATACCTAAAAATATCCGAAAGAAAATATCCGAATGGATCCTAAACTTCAGAACCGAAAGAACCGGAACCGAAATGGAACCGAACCGAAATTGATTGGTCCCTATATGGATCCTAAACTCTAGAATCGAAAGAACCGGAACCGAACCGAAATTGATTGGTCCCTATATGAATCCTAAACTCTAGAACCAAAAAAATCGGAACCGAACCAAAACCGAAAGGATACCCGAACGTCCAGGCCTAATCCGAACATCCATACCTATAAAAGACTAATAAATTGTCCTTTTCTAAATTAATAAAGTTTCGGTGCAGCTACCTTCTTATTACCCAGCGTCTCCTGTGGGTTCCTTTGTTACACTGTTCTCTATCACACACATCTTTGTTACTTGTCTCTATATATCATTTTAAAACTAATATCTTTTTTCAGACACACCATCTTTGAATCTTCTTCACTCAAAGCTTTGTCATATTCAACGATTTTGTAAAAAGAAGACTTCTTTAAAAAAACTTTTACCTTATTTAATACTCGTCAACTACACACACACTATACATTATTCAGCTTGTGTTGTGTATATATTGTGCTCTCTCTCTTCAACTTGGTTGTTGTATTAAATCTCTCATTCCTCCTTTAGTTTTCTCTAGACAAGAAGATAGAGATAAAGACTTGACCTTTTAAGTCTTTCTTGGTCTTAATACTCTGCAATTCTTGAGGTATGTCTCTGATTCTTACATGGGTCGATTATAGAAGATGAATAAAATCATAAACCTTTATGGAGTACTCTGAATAATTTCAGATGCTCTCAATGTGTTTGTTGAAATGTCTGAATGAAGATTTTGTTTTTATCATTCGTCGGCTATAATAAATGTGTTTGGTGATGATAGCAATGACTTGGTAAACAAATTAATATATTAATGATAGTTGTTTAGAGAAAAAGATTCGTTTTGTCAATGTTTATTGATCTTGAATTTGATACGTGTGCAGGGTATTTTTGAGGAAACAACTTGAAGAGAGATCGTGTCTTTATATTGTTGTTTAATCAGGAGAGATGGGTCTTTCTCTTTCTTTGCTCTTGTCTGCTTGGAAAGAAGTTGTGACGACCCAGTTCTTCAGTTTCAAGAACCCTGTCGAGAGTTTTCTTGAAACCAGATCTTTTAGCTTAAAGCTTAAAGAAGGAGGCTTGACTTCAAGAACCAACAGTTTCAAGAGTGAGAAACCGCTGGAGAAGTCGCCGAAGACTGGTATGGAGCGGTCTTTGAGCTTCAACAGCTGGGAGATTGCGACAGAAGTGGAGACTGAACCAATGAACAAGGCGGATGAGGAGATTGTCGAACCGACGAAGCCTGCTCGTAACAGTTTGAGTGGAAGGAACTGTGAGAGAATCCAAATAACAAAACCCACGATTATTCCCCCTACGCCTTTTGTGTTCTTCTCTCCGAGACCGGTCACTGAGCTTGATGCAGCTGCAACTACGTTACAGAAGGTATACAAGAGTTACAGAACAAGAAGGAACCTAGCGGATTGCGCGGTTGTTGTTGAGGAGCTCTGGTGAGTCACTTGATGATCCTCTATCTTTCTATCTACTTTGTTAGTAATGTGGTTTGATCTGTTGACACTAATCCCTTTTATTTCTTTAAATGTTTTGTAGGTGGAAGACTCTGGATGCTGCAGCTTTAAATTTGAGCTCAGTCGCCTTCTTTGAAGAAGAGAAACATGAAACCGCGGTTTCGAAGTGGGCACGAGCTAGAACTCGAGCTGCTAAGGTTTGACATCACATCATTTCCGCAAGTTTAAGATTTTATTGCTCTTTACAATGAAAACTGATGTGAATCCTACTTTTGTATGTCATTTAGGTTGGAAAAGGATTGTCAAAAGATGAAAAAGCTCAAAAGTTAGCTCTTCAGCATTGGCTTGAAGCTGTAAGTCCCCATACCTGCTTTTGGACATGAAATAAATCTTTCTATTTTGTGGATTTGAACTAAGTTTTGTCTGTTCCGCATTTACAGATTGACCCACGCCATCGTTATGGCCACAACTTGCACTTCTATTATGACGTCTGGTCAGCAAGCATGAGCGCACAACCATTCTTCTACTGGTCAGTCCCATAACTATCTTTATCTCTTTTTGTTGTATGAATCTGTTCTGAACTTTGTTTCTACCTATTTGAAACTGAAGGTTGGACATTGGCGATGGAAAAGATGTGAATCTTGAACACCACCCAAGAAGTGTTCTGCAAAAACAATGCATTAGTTATCTTGGACCAGTAAGTCTTTTTTCGGTTTCACCTGCTGAAAGAAACTAGTCCAGCATACTTATCTTCTTCTTGCTCATAAACGTTTGTGGTATTCAACCTGCAGCTTGAGAGAGAAGCATATGAAGTGATAGTAGAAGATGGAAAACTAATGAATAAACAAAGCATGACTCTGATCAGTTCAACAGAGGATTCCAAGTCGATTTTTGTACTTAGCACTACTAGGACCTTATACGTAGGGCAGAAGAAGAAAGGTCGTTTCCAACATTCAAGTTTCTTGTCTGGAGGCGCCACAACTGCTGCAGGAAGATTGGTCGCTCGCGATGGGATCCTCGAGGTGTGTTCCGATTCAGTTTTACTTCCTAGTTTGATTCTCTTAGCCTTTATGTCAAGGATCTAACAGAGATTTTAAATCACATTTTTTCTCAGGCTATATGGCCATACAGTGGACACTACCTTCCAACAGAAGACAACTTCAAGGAATTCATAAGTTTCCTGGAAGAGAACAATGTTGATATGACCAATGTTAAGGTAAGGAATATAATTTTTGGTTGCATACATGCGAAATATGAAAAATGGTGTGTACTCACTTATCTAATCTGAATGCAGAGATGCTCTGTGAATGAGGAATATTCGTCATTCAATTCCAGTGGCTACGAAGAAGAAGCAACAAAAGAAGAGGAAGCAGAGAACAAACCAGCAGAAACCATCATTACAGAGGAACAAGAAGAAGAGAAAGAAAGAGAAAGACCAGTGTTCCAGCTTGCAAAGAGGCTGTCTTGCAAATGGAACAGTGGAGTTGGTCCAAGAATTGGGTGTGTTAGAGATTATCCAATGGAGCTTCAGTCACAAGCGTTCGAACAAGTCAGTTTGTCTCCTCGGATTTCGCCTGGTTCTACACGTTTTCCGTCACCATACGGTCCAATTCCTTCTCCAAGACCTAGTCCTAGAGTAAGAGTCTCTCCACGCTTAGCATACATGGGAATCCCAAGCCCTAGAGTTCAAGTAAACTGTTAAACCTTTTGCTCTTAACTTAACTCACCAAGAAGTGAAATGTTATGACCTTTAAGCTAGTGAGGTGTGAGAAAAGGCTTCATCAATCTCTCAGCCTTTGTTCTTTGATTCAATGTGTTTTTTTGTAAGTCCCTTTTGGTCTTTTTGTTCCTTTTTTTCTTGGGTGCATTGTAACTTCTGGTTTAGGTGAATCCCAAGGCTGTGTAAATTCATTAGGTAAGAATAAACAACTTTTTTTGTTTAGAACCTCGAATAATTTTCTCTTTGTTTTTGTCAAAAATATTGAATAATTTTCCATCTGAAGATTGATTATTGATCTTCAAATTTTAACTCAAAAAAAAAAAAAAAACGTGCAAGAGTTCCAACAACAAAACTCTTCTATTATCTTTTAAGTTTTAACAAAAGAGAAACATAATTATATTATATTCAATAATGTACCATCAAAGACTTGACTTGAGACTTTTCATGGGCTGTTTTGGTCTTCTTAAACCACCTTGAATTGATTGTCTATGGTCTCTGTCTTTTCTTCGCTAATCCGTACTTCTTCTATATTAGACCAATCCTTAGCACATGTCTTATTTCACTATTTATTATTTTGTGTCACTCCGGTATACTTTTTAATTATATATTTATACAGATAAAAATGAGCCAAAGAAAAGAAAAAATATCTAAAACTATCAAAATGATGAAATTATTATTAGGTAACAAAAATGAGCAAAGAAGATTGGATAAAATGCCATTTTAGTTCAATGGCGTCAAAATCTAATTACTCTTGTTTGATAGGCCGATATGGAATGTTGCATTTGAGAGAATTCATATGAGTCCAAGATCCATCTGTTCATCTATAAGTGCACATATATATACAGTACATAAATTTATAATTTATAGTGGAATGGATAACTCAAAATTTTATATTTTAGGGAGAAATATCTTTACAGATTTTTTTTTTAAAATTAGAATCTACTGTTATTGGTTCATGGATTATAAAAGTAAACTTTATTGTTATTGTATTGGTTTGAAGGTTTTTAAAATTTAATTCTGAATCCTTTGTATTAAAAAGATTTAGCTATTATTAATTTTCTTAAAAAATCTAATAAAAATAACAATTTGAATAAATGTCTTTTTATCGCAAATTTTCGTTAAATTTTTTTAACTAAATAATTTATTATACGGTTGTTTTCATTTAGAAAGTTGCAATCTGAATAAATGTCTTTTACTGTTGCGCCTTTTTTTTTATCGTAACTCTTCACAAACGGTTACAACCATTTAGTTGAACCATTGCATCGTTTAGTTTATTTCACGAACGATTGCAACTTTTGGTTTATTTTATAAATCGTGTAACATTTAATTTATTTATTTTGTAACATTTACTCGTGCAACATTTAATCGTGTAACATTTAATTAAATCTGAATAAATGTCTTTTACTGTTGCGTCTTTTTTATCGTAACTCTTCACAAACAGTTACAACCATTTAGTTGAACCATTGCATCGTTTAGTTTATTTCACGAACGATTGCAACATTTGGTTTATTTTATAAATCGTGTAACATTTAATTTATTTATTTTAAAACAAAAAAATATATTTTACGGTTATGTTTTTTTAGATAGTTGCAATCCGAATAAATAACTACTACGGTTGTATATTTTTATCATAAGTCTTCATAAACGGTTGCAACCGTTTAGTTGAACCATTGCAACTTTTAGTTTATTTCACAAACAAATGCAATTTTTGGTTTATTTTATAAATCGTTATGAAATTTAATTTTCTACGGTCGCGTCTCTCGTCGTAACTTTTCATTACTTTTAATTTTTAATTACTAAAATGTACTTAATTGAAATTGTAACCGTTTAATTAAACCCTTGCAACATTTGATTTATTTGACGAATCATTGCACCTCTTGGTTTTGTTTATGAACTATTGTTATCTTTAGGAGGGGTTATTGGTTCATGGATTTATAAGGAATTAGAAATCCAAACAAAAATCATTTGTTATTCAATCATTAATTTTAAAATCCTAATTAAAATCATGTGTTATTGGTTCTATGAATTATAAATACTAGTTAAAATCCTTTGTTATTCGTTTAGTCATTTGTTTTTGGATTTGAGATTCCAAATTATGTTTTAAATGGATTTGAATGGAATTGAAAGAGAAAAATAGAAGGATTCAAATCCATGGGTAAACACATGTTATTTCAAAATCCATATATCTTGATTTCATAATTAATAGAAATTTTCAAATTCTATATGAATTTACAAATTAATAAACCAATAACACCCCCTTAGTTTATTTGACCAACAGTTGCAATAGTTGGTATATTTGACGAAACTATTGCAACTTTTGGTATATTTGATATCTATGGTCACGTCTTTCGGTTACAGTTCTTAACAAAAATTAATTTTAATTATTAAAATATATTTAAATAAATTGTTGCTATCGTTTAATTAACCATAGTAACATTTGGATTATTTGACGAACTAATGACATTTTTGCTTAATTGACGAACCGTTGTAACATTTAGTTTATTTTACGAACCATTGCAACAATTGATATATTTGATGAACCGTCGCAACCTTTATTTTATCTGATGAACTATTACAACTTTTGATATATTTGAACCGTTGCAACATTTACCTTTCATTAAAGATTTTTTAGAGCATTTATTAAAGTTATATCTGTTCATTTAGAGTTGTATATTGTCACCATTTTTTCGTGTTTTTCATCACAAACTCTTCGTTCCAAAACTTGTGTCTTTTATAAACAGTTTTGACTATATATATTTTCATGTCTTTTTAACTCTATATATATTTTTCTCTTTTCTTAGAAAAGTTGTGTAAATTTATTATTACTTCTTGTTCGATACTTTTTCATATAAAGTTGCATTCTTTAGCTATCTAACATTCATGTATATATTTTGTTATCTATATCATTACTTTATTTTCCTAAATAACTATCAATTTTAGTTATTTGTTAATATTTTTTCTAGGCTTGTCTCTCTTCAACATAACATAATTTAAAATGTTACATCTTTTTATCATACTGTTTTATTGAATATATTTATATAGTTATATTTATAATTTTTTAAAAAATTACGTCTACTCATTATATTTTTTTTTTGTTTAAATTCCAATAAAAGTTAGTATCTTTCCATTATCTCATAATATTCATAATTTTTAAAAACTTTTTGGAAGCAATGATTATAAAAACGAAAGAATACTGTTTCAGTAAAACGTCTTCATCATTGACTTACATTTCCCATTGCATATGTCCACATACTCATGAATCATGATATCATGATCCTCCGATAATTAGCATATTCTCTTGGTTGAGATTTAACAATGTCCATGCCAATGCCAAACGATTATATTTGTAGACATTTATTTTATAACAGATCATGCTACAATCTTCTAAAAAACTTTTTTTTTTTGCTGATTTCATAAATTTATCATCTAGTATTGTTTATTACCTAATTAACCCTTATTTTGATTTTTGTGTGTATTTTAAACCATATATTATGAAATTAAAATTTTCAAATGTGTGTGTTATTATTAAACTCTTGAATAAGACCTCTACAAGAATTTAAAAGGGGGACATTTACTATGATGATATAATTACCATGTCCGACATATGCTTCTATGTTAATCGATAATGTTAATGGTAACGGTGAACACAAGGCGAGTACCCGCTATTTTAAGGATACTTGTTATTTGATTTTCTTTTTACGAGTAATAAATTCTTTTACTTGTATTTGGCTTGTTGAAAACGAGAACCCGCAATTTTAAAGTTTTGCTAAAAAATGATTGTTTTGCGAGTTACTTGTCTTGTTCTTATTACTTGTTACTTACGAGTTACTTGCAAGTAACACTTTCGAATTACTTGCAATTACTTATTGATTTATTTTTCATGTTTTTTACATGCTCTATATATAATTTACTTTTGACATAATTTTTAAAAATGTGTTTAACACTAATAAAATACGAAATATATATAATGGTAATATAATAACGAGTAACGGGTCAAACAAGTCGGATAAAAGTTTTTTCTTATTACTTGTTACTTGGTTTGTAAGTATCTAAATTATAGTACTTGTTATTTGTTTTGACAACAATGGATACTCGTTTTTTCGAAACGGGTAAATACGAGATGAGTAACAAGTAATCATGTCAAGCCAGACTCGTAGTTATAACTCGTGGATCTAAATTCTAAAGTATATAGCTGCTCACCAAAAAAAAAAAAAGGTAGTCTAGTCTAACTGTTTTCGTGGTAGTGTATGTCTAGTCTCGTGTAACCATTCCTAGCTTTTATTCCTAATCATTGCATCAGGATGAGAAATTCCCTGTCGAATAGATGTAGCTAGAGAGATTAACTATTGGTTAACAATTTTAAAATTTTATAAATCAACATCAAACCACAAATTAAAGTTTGAAAAACAATAACAAATTACTTTTTCTTAACCACACAAAAGAACAATAATATTAAAAACCAAAAACAACTTTCGAGAAGGAGGATCGACGAAGTTGTGGAATATATTCAAAATAGTACTATGCATGATTAATTAAATTAGGCTCCGAATGGTAACCGCGTTTTGCGGTGCGGGAGAAGTGCGGTATTATAGTGCGGTACGGTTCAACTGCGGGACGTGCGGGAGAAATATATTTGCGGGACAAGTGCGGTTTGTATAAAATAAGCGGTACGAAATAATATTTGATTGGTGAAAAAAGCTATTTGCGGGATAAGTGCGGTTTTATATATAAATATATATATAAATTAATAATTAATTATTTTTTTTGTTAATAAATAAACAATAACAGATATTTATAAACCATTAATACACAAATTGATCAAAATTTAAATTTAATTTTTAAACATATATATATATATATATATATAATTATAAATTAAACATTCATATATATATATATATATAATACAATGTGATACATATATAAAAATTCTTAAGATATTTACAATTGTTTAAATATTTTAAACAGTTAAAAATAAATAGAACAACTGGTGTAAATTAATATAACAACTAAAAAACTATAATTGTTTTCTAAAATTTTCAAATCTAATTAAAATATATATTATACAATTTATATGAAATAATTTAACCATATTTTAATAAAATTGTACTACAGTTTTTTTTTCTACATATCTGTTTTTTCTCTTTCTAAAAACTGATTATTTTATAATTTGTGAAGAAATAATGAAGTAAGTTAATTTTTTTTTCTCATAAAACCACATTTAAAAGTAAAACATTTATGAGAATTATTAACAAGTTAAATTAAAAAGAAAACTCATTATGTATATACTAGTTATTTGTTAAAATGTGCGGTGGTTATTAATTCTTTTTTTATCAATCATAATTGGCTGTTAAAGAAAAGATAAAATAAAAAGAAAAAGGATAATTTGTATTATCCCCTGCGGAATTGATTAAAAACGCTGGGTAATTGATAGGTTGAGAAATGAAGTGCGGTCCAATGGATATTACTCGACATGGAAAAACGCAAACAGTATTTCCTGTTTTTTTAGAAAACCGCAGCTTATAACCAATTATAAGTGATTGGTGACATGTTGTGGTTTTGAGAAAAAAAACATGAAATCCGCTTTTTGTGTGGTCACCATTCACGACCTTAGTTTGCAGTTACAAAATAGTCTTATTTCCTCGTATTTTGCACTTCCATTAAGTGAAGCATGCGTGCCGTTGACTCAAAACCAACCAGTCTATGAAGCGAACAGTCGAAGTTTTTAATTTCAAACTGCTTTTTAAATTAAAGTTCGAGAAGAAAAGATCTGACACATGGGCTTATTACCAGAACAAACTTCTAATATCTGGGCCAATAACCCTATTGGTTAGACTGTCCGACCACCAACAATGTTTGAAAATAAATTATGTTTTTGGGTTTTGGGTTCTAAAGTAATTCTCATTTGGTATTTAAAATTTTTGGTTTTCTCCTGTTCGTGTCAATTCTGGAATTTATATTGAAAACAGGAAAGTTATCGAAAAGTGAAACTTTAAGATGCAATTCAAATTGATTATTTTTTACCCAAATTTACCTAAATTTAGTTAGAAAATCCAAAAACACAGAAATGTTTTATAATTATATTAGCCAAAACTATCCAAAAATACCAAAAAAAAATAGACATATATTTTTATATACCTAATATTTTGTGTATATATACGTACTTATATGTATACTAGTATTTTTGAAATACATTTTGTACCGGGTGGGTTAAAAATTTATCCGAGGTTTTGGTACCGGATCCGATACAAAATTTACTTCAAAACTTACACCGGATATTCTATATTTTTCTTTGGATCGGCTCAAAACATATCCGAAATTGTGAACATGATATTCTATGTTTAAAAATATAAATATTTAGAAGATTTGGTTAAGATTTAAAATTACGATTCTCCTATCATCTTTGTTTAAACTTTCTTTTAACTATTTAATACATAAAGTTAAAAAATCTCAATTATTTTTTCTGCATATATTGTGATTCAATATTTTAAAACGGATATATATTATCCAATTGATGAAAAATATGTGTATTCAACATCCCATATTGGCTAAAATGTTTGGACAATGATTCAGAATCATATTATAAATAAGATTAAAATGAATTCAAATCCAAATGAATAGGAAGCTTAACTTAACAAACATCCAAATTTAAAAAGTTTGTATACTGTTTAATTCGTTTTTAGTTTAAGTGCTTAATTTTACTAGATATATTTAATTTTAGATTTTTAAAAAGTGTTTAAATAATATAATTCATATATTTAAAATGAATAAATAATTTATAATAATATGAACATTTGAAAATATATAAAGAGTTATAATAACACGGGACGAGTTATATTGCGAGACGGAGTTATAAAGCATGAGTAGTTTTCAAGAAGTTTTAAATATTATAATTTATATATTTAAAATCAATAAAAAGTTTGTAATATTAAGAACATTTGAACATATATAAAGAGTTAAAATAACACGGGACGGTTATATTGCAGGACATGGCTATATGACGAGATGGGTTTGAATCAAAAAAAAATTAAACATCATTAACCCGCTGCTTCAATACGGGTTAAATCTTCATTTTATTATTTTTAACACCACCAATATTAGACATATCGAATGATCATGATTAAAATAAAATTGTATAAAACAAAAATTATTCCCTGGTATACCGTTATTTAATAATTGTAAATTATAAAATATATATGTCTTATAAAATTATACAATTTGCAAACTTTTATATGTAATATATAACCATTAAATTTTAAAATTTACTCATTTTAAAAACAAAATCGTCATGCGGTATACAGCGGGTTAAAATCTACTTTAAGATATGTTCGGAGAACAATTTGATTTTCGGTTCGGTTCGGACTAGATACAAATTCTTCGGTTATAGTAGTCTAAGTCCGAGTGCTTTTCTGTTCCGGTTCGATTGGGTACCTCCTAATTTGGGTCAGTTCCGGTTACTATATTTGGGTCGAAATATATGGATGCCTAGTATAGTTTATATATTAACAACTTTTGGAACGAGAAATTTTTTTTTGTAAGTGTAATTAATCATACATATAAAAGTAAGGTTTCACTCTCTCATGATTGGTCTACTTGGCATTTTTAAAATTATAATATTTATTTTCAATTAAACTTAAAATCTAATATATTTAATCATATACATTTAAATCTACACTTTACTACTCAATTGTAACTGAAATTACATAATTGTGAATTGACTATTTTTTTCTCTATTCATTGTCATTTAAACACACTATAATTATAATTGTAACTCTTATAATCTAATTAGTTTAGAAATGTAACTTTCATATTTTCCTATAAATAACCATTCTCACATACCTCCATCATATCTCAAATCCTAAATATTCTCTTTGTTTTGTTTATGTTCTTGCATGAGTTGAAAACTCAATATCATTGTAAAAGTTTGATTATATATTTTGTATAATATATATATATATATATATATATATATCTTATATTCTCCCCAGGAATGGCTCTTTTGAGCTCTAATTAATTGCGGATGACAAAAAAAAAATATCTTATACTCTTTTCAATTTTATTTCTTCTTTGTTTTTATGTATTTCTTCCTTCTTTCTTTGTTTTTTTAATAATATTTTTTAATTTAAAATTACATATGTATATTATAATTTTGATGGCTATAATAAAATTATCTTATTGATGCAGATTCAAAAATATTAATTCCGACCATCGCGCAATAAGAGAATCAAGCTAAAGAAACTATCTTCATTTTTTTTTACTTTGAATGTTTGATTATTTCTTACATATTCATGTATATTTATTTTATTTTTAAAAATATGCATTGTTTTAACAAAATAAATTTTTGTAATACAATTATCAAATTAATTTTCTTTAACTCTCTCTTATCTCCAAAAAAATTGTAATACAATTGTTTAGTATACTCATCATTATATTTAGTTTTATTGGTTCAACATATAATGATATAAAGATCATTAAAAAATTTATTTAATTCAAATTTTATAGTGTAAAGATTTTTCTATATATATTAAAAAAAAATTGATATTCCATTTCCAATTAGCTTGTAATATAAAGATGAAATCATTTACTACAAAATGATTTATTCACAATGAATCTTTTGGAATGTAACATAAAAATTTATGATATAAATACAATTAAATTTACTCATAAATGACATTCAAACATGATTGTGAAAGTTTTATCAAAAACAAAACATGATTGTGGAAGTTAAATAGTTATCTAACGTAAATATGCTTTTATTACAAAAAAAAATTCCCTATAAATATTAATACACACATCTCACAAACAATCATATTCCAAGTTTTCTATTATTGGTAAATTGTATAACATTTTCTCTTCTAATTCAACAAATGGTGTTTCAATATATATATTTTTGTCACTTTTGTAAGAGATTGTGAAGAGGAGGTGACCTGAAACCAAGAAATCCTACGCACGGTCAATCGTTTGTGCTACTTTAGATGTCTTTAAAAAGAAGAGAGTAGAGAAGATGCATTATTGTAGGTTTTTTTTGCCGAAATTATTCATTATATTCAATCTATATTAACCTAAATTTGGGTTGACTCAAATAAATTTGATATTCTTGCAGAGAGATTAAGAAAAAAATCAAGAAGACTAAAGACGACAAGAAGGGTAAGAAAATGGAGTATGCTTCGAAACAACATAAGTCTTAAGTGAAGGGTAATATTCCAAGAGAGTTGATGGTAGAGGTAGACGTTGAATTGTATAGAATAGTCATTTATCTCTTTTCATTTATCTTTATACAATTTTATCCATCCCCATTCTACATTAATAATATTTGATTATTATTTTTAATCCTTTTATATGTAAATATCTTTTAAATTGTAAAAATTTAAAGAAAGTACCATAAAATGGTTTATTATTAATAGTAACATAGTGTTTAAAAGTTTGTTATGTTAATTATGTCCATCAAATTATGAATAGCTTGAAACTAACGATACTAATAATGGATATTTTCACGAATTAAATTAATCTACTATATAAAATGAATGTCATTTTTCAGATGGTTATCTTTTGGTAGTTGAAATTTAGTAATGCTTTGGAAAAAGGCATGTGAAACATATATTGAACCAAGTTATAATCTCGAAAATATTAAGTGAAAGTCTTAAGTCTATAAATTGATATGTTCACTATCTCATTCATCTGTTATTTTTATGTATGCGTTATTATTGTTGTTTTGCTTACAATATATATATATATATATATATATATATATATATATATATATATATATATATTTTTTTTTTTGTTTTTTTTACATAAAAAAAAAAATGTATACAATAACCCACGCGTCGCGTGGGCAAACATCTAGTAGATATCAAAAGCGCAGTTAAACAAGATGGAAAAGAAATTAATTTATCCAATACCCGTTTTCGAACGAGAAAATTGTTGAATTCTTAAATTCGAAGGTAAAATATACTTAAGGAATAAAAATGAGTCCCCACTAACCAATTCTTTTGCAGTCGTGAATGGATTCAAACTAGTTGTAAAAATTACCTTTCTTTTTTTTTTTTTTTTTTTTTTTGTAAAACTATTTCATAAATTAAGATAGCTCAAACTCCATCGAAGGAGGATAAAATATATGCAACATACGAGTTTTCAAAACGCAAACACATAAAGAAAGGAAGAGGAAGAAACTTGGTCTTCATACTTCTCGTATCATCAACGATATCGTCAACAACAAATGTGTGGCCTCCGACATTGAGAAGAAGGGGAATTCTTGCCAATCCGAATAATAAGCCGACCTTGAAAACCCCACCGCTAAGGCTGCGCTGATCGTCGTCTTCAAAGCGAGTTCCTCCGCTACTAGAGCATAGGAGACAACGGGTCGAAAAGATGATCCATGTTGGATCGATGCCTTAAGTGGTTCCTCCATGAACCACCCCATTCCGTAGCAGCTGGACTTAGACATCCAAGATGCATTGGGAAGATAAACAAAGGTGTCTTGAGGCTCTTCTATCTTCTGTACCAATTGCTGGAATGGTTCAGAGGCTTTATCACAGAGAAAGTTAAAACAAGTCTAACACCGTCCTCAATACAAGGAAGATCGGATTCACCATAGAAGTGATCCGAGAGATAACCTGAAACCAACAAATTCACACCAAAGCCAGAACCAACAATCGCCAAAGATTGTCTACAAAGATGCCTACTTCCGATAAGAGACATTACAACCATACCAACATAGCTTTGATCCAATCTCATAAGTCTAACATCCTCATATTGAGGTACAAACCTCATACAGAGGTAAAGGAGAACTAACAGAGGATAGTTTCTATACCATTGGACAATACACAAGAGGGTAATAGAGACCAAACCTTCTGACGTTAAGTTGAAGGGGAGGAGAGGCTTTCAAAGGCATTTTTCACAACTACTTGAAGCGCATTCGTAAATGCAAACAAATTGGTTGCTACAGATGCAATTATATTCTTTAGGTACATATTTTCCATAGATTCTAGATATATATTAGCTCTTAGAGAGAAAAAAAAATATTTATTACCACTAAAGATATGTTTTTTTTTTCTCTAAAGATATGTTTGAATCTCCATACATTAACGTGAAGACTAATGTTTGACAAAATTGTAATAGACCAAAATATATTAGGCTAAGATATCAAAAAATTAACAAAAATCTATTGGGTTAGAGGTTGGGACAAAATGTATTGGCCTTAGATGTAGGTTTGTAGAGGGTTGACTAAATATTTTCGGTTCCATTCGGGTACCCATGAATATTCGGTTCGATTCAGTTATTACCCATATCCAGTGGATAGTGTGACTGAGATCCATTCGGGTATTTAGCGGTATCCATAACCGAACCGGAACCTTCTTTTTTGGTTTGGTTCGGTTCGGTTCGGTTCTTCGGTTTCGGTTTTTATGCCCAGACCATAATATGGCTATGAAAAGTATATATTCAAACATATATTTAAACATTCACATTTCCTATTTTTTCATTCAGTGACTTTTTTCTTCTAGAAATAGATGTATTTTTATCCACAAGACTTAAAGAAAACATTAAAAAATGAATTATTTGTTCATAAGTAATAAATTGTTCAATGAAAAATCTTAGTCAAGTTTAATTTTTTGGCGCGTCATTTATTTTTGCTATCATGTTATTTTGGCGCGTTATTTAGTTTTGTTGTTGAAATATTTTGGCAAACTTTGAAAAAATTTACATATTCTTTCCTATTTTTCTATTATATGTGTCATAAATTTTGAGTTTTATCAATAGTAACATGTTAGAAATGTATCTGTGTGTATAAACATTATACATCACTTAAATAGTTATACTAAAACAAAGAGGGTATGTTTTACATAATTTAAAACTGTTTAATACATCATTTGTTTTAATTTAGATGAAGTTTAATGTTTTTGTAAATAGATGAGAAAATGACATAAACCATAAAATAAAATAAAATAATCATTTTTTACATTATTTATTATTTAAACAAAGAATATTCAACCGGTCATAGAGTTAGCTTTTAATTAATGTATGGTTGATAAAAGAAACAAAGACTATTCAACCAAAAACAAATTCTGCATATTTGGTCACAAAAAATAATTAAAAAATAAACATTTTACATAGAATAATGAAAATATCATTTATAGTCTGAAGTATTTTGTTTTCTTTCTAAAACATCATTTAAAATATTATGGACGGGAGTGGATGTAATGGGCATAATTTGTTACGAGGAATGTTTCTAAACTAATTGTAATAATAATGATTCTAATATTTTTCTACAGTTATAGGAAATTATTTCAAAACTATTTTTTTGTCACTAAAAAAAAAAAGTATGTAAAAGCAAAATTTTCTATTATAATAATAACTTCTGTTAGAGAGGTTAATAAGACAAGTCATAGGTCTAATTAGTCCAAATCACAAAATCCAAAAGCTAACATTGCTTTTGAAAGAGAATGTGTTTGGTAATTCTGATTTGCAACATTTTGGGAAGTTTAAATTTCGAATCCAATGATATAAGAATAATAAAACAAAACAAGGCATTACATGAACATGAGTGAGTCCTCCTGTAAAAAGTAAAAAACAACAAAAAGCCTAATCTCTATATATATTTATTAATTTATTGTACCTTTTCATGGTTTCTTTTTCATGCCTGTAACTCTGAGAAGGACACAGACACATTTGTTTGTGTAAGTAATAAATAAGTGTGGAAACACAATCAGAGACAAAAGCCTAAAGACTCGAGCAATCTTTTTTTTTTTTTTTTAATAAATATTCTTTTTTGTTGCTTTGCTTTGATTTGTTCAAATTTCAAAAACTTCTCTTTAACCCACCACTCCCTCCATTACCACCACAATTTCACATTCTCCGATATTCTCTCTTTCTCTCTCTCTTTCAATCTCTCACTCTCAAACTTTCTACATACCTGAAGTAAAACGAGCCATAAAGATCGAATCTTTTTCATCTATGGGTGCTTCAGGGAAATGGGTCAAGTCCATTATTGGTCACAAGAAGCTAGAGAAAGATGAAATCGTAAGTTCATTACCCAAATTTCTTAACTTTTTGTTGTTCTCTCATTCAAAGGTTAAAGCTTTAGAGATATACTCTGTTTTCAGGAAAAGGGTAATGTGAAAAACAAGAAATGGAAGCTATGGAGGACTACTTCAGTGGATTCATGGAAGGGTTTTCGAGGAAAACATCGGTCTGAATCAGAGGGTCTTGATTCTTCAACTGTTTACTCTGCTGCTGTTGCTACTGTGCTTAGAGCTCCTCCTAAAGATTTCAAAGCTGTTAGAGAAGAATGGGCTGCTATCAGAATTCAGACCGCTTTTAGAGGATTCTTGGTGAGTTTTCTAATTGGTTAATTGGAATTGAGAGCAACAATCTTAGTCTAATTTGAGAATTTGTTGTTACTTAATTAGGCGAGAAGAGCGTTGAGGGCGTTGAAAGGGATAGTGAGGTTACAAGCTTTAGTTAGAGGAAGACAAGTGAGGAAACAAGCAGCTGTAACATTAAGATGCATGCAAGCTTTGGTGAGAGTACAAGCTCGTGTTAGAGCTCGTCGTGTGAGGATGACTGTAGAAGGACAAGCTGTTCAAAAGCTTTTAGATGAACACAGAACCAAATCTGATCTCTTGAAAGAAGTCGAGGTTCTTGTCTTTTTTCTTTTTGTGGTTATTGGTTTTGATGATTCATGTCAATATTGTTTCTTGTTTTGAGATTTGTTATATTTTCAGGAAGGGTGGTGTGATAGGAAAGGTACTGTGGATGATATTAAGTCAAAGTTGCAGCAGAGACAAGAAGGTGCTTTTAAGAGGGAACGTGCTTTGGCTTATGCTCTAGCTCAAAAGGTAACTATCTAATTGTGTCCACATTTAACATCTTGTTGAAGTTCGTGTCTGAATCGAAAATTTGGTTGTGTGCAGCAATGGAGGTCAACTACTAGCTCAAACCTTAAGACGAATAGTTCGATTTCATATCTTAAAAGTCAAGAGTTTGATAAGAATAGTTGGGGATGGAGTTGGTTGGAGCGTTGGATGGCTGCTAGGCCATGGGAGACTAGACTTATGGACACTGTTGATGCCGCTGCCACGCCTCCTCCTCCGCCTCCTAAGCATTTGAAATCACCTGAAACTGCGGATGTTGTTAAAGTTAGAAGAAACAATGTGACCACTAGGGTATCTGCAAAACCTCCTCCTCATATGTTGTCTTCAAGTCCTGGTTATGAGTTTAATGAGAGTTCTGGTTCATCGTCGATTTGTACTTCAACTACACCTGTTTCTGGAAACACTGGACTTGTTTCAGACAACTCTAGCAGTCAAGCAAAAAAGAACAAGCCAAGTTACATGAGCTTGACTGAATCAACAAAGGCTAAGCGAAGAACTAACCGCGGTCTCAGGCAATCTATGGATGAGTTTCAGTTTATGAAGAACTCTGGATTGTTTACTGGGGAATTGAAGACTAGTCCTGCCTCAGATCCTTCTTATGTTAGTTTCTCCAAACCACTCGGTGTTCCTACCCGATTCGAGAAGCAGAGAGGGTAATGTGACCTTGTTTAGATTCATGTCAATTCCTTGAGGGAAGTTTCAACAGCTTGTTGTTGTCTTGTGTTATGAGATATCTGTGTATGTTGTTAATTGTTCTTTTTCCTTTGGAACTACATTGGAGTTTTGAATTTAAATATAAAAATTGCAGTCTTGTTTTTATGTCGTTATGAGACTATTAAGTTTATATATCATCACTTGTTTCAAGAATCAGAATCTTTTGATGGCTCTGAGCTTAACACCGTTCTTGAAGCTGAGAATTACACCATAATCAAGCTGTAGTGGTTTCTCCATTTCTGGGGAATGTCTGAACATGTAATTACTGTAGAGATGCAGTAAGGTGAGTTTGATCTCCTGTAAGGCAAATTTCTGTCCAACACAGGCTCGTGGACCGATACCGAATGGGATGAAAGCGTATGGATGCCTACGTTTTTCCTCTTCTCCGTTCGGATCAAATCTTTCCGGCCTGAACTTCTCCGGCTCTGGAAAGTTTTTCGGGTCCTTTGCTAGAACTCCTAGTGCCAACCAAACCCATGTACCCTAAGAAACAACAACTAGGTAAGTAATAGAGTGGACTAATCCGCTTGATGGGTTTGATTGGTGACATCGGAAAGAGTGCAAGCGAGTTGATGGATTTACCTTGGGAAGTAGGTAACCTCCTATCTCAACTTCTTTTGCAGTTTCCCTTGCAACCAAAGGGGAAACCATGTAGAATCTCATAGCCTCTTTGATGACCTACAAAGGAGGAAAATAAAAAACATCCATAAAGATTCAAATACCTCACTGAAAATCAACTTCTTGATTTTGTTTGTTAAATGAAGGACCTGATCGAGGTATGGAAACTTGTATTGTAAGTCATGAGCAGTCGGGATCAAATCACGGCCTCCAAACCCGTCAATCTCTTGAAGAAGACGTTTCTCAATTTCAAGATGACCAGAGACTAAGTAGAGAACAGAGGATAATGTGAAAGCAGTAGTTGCAGAGCCAGCAAGAAGATGCTCGTAAGTCACAGCGCTTATATAATCCGGCGTAAATATCTTCTTGGCGAAAGGATCAGATTCTCGAGCTTTCAAAATCAATGACAAGAAGTCTTTTGAGTCAGTCTCAGCCTCCTTGGCTCGCTTTGACACAATCTCATTAAGTTGTCCACTCAGTCTTGCATTAGTCTTCTCAACTCTGCAGTCCATTGTTCCCGGTATCCTCTTCAAAACCTGCCTGAACGGCTCTTGAAGAATTGGAATCAGTAAGCCTAAGATGATGGAGAGTGAGCCAGATAAATCCATCTTTAGCTGTGTTGTAGAGTAGACATGCTGGTTTATGAAATCAGTCACCTCTACATCTTTGACAGGTTTCTTCCCGGAAAGGCCAAAGTTGACACCAAAAGCCGCTTGACCGATAATATCCGTGGTTAGTTTGAGGAAAAGATTAGAGAAAACGATATCTCGCGGTTTCGAATCAAGATTATGAGTAGCAGAAGTGATGAAATTGTGCATTGTAGGGATAAGACTGGTCAAATGTGAAGGCTGGTAGAGAGACAGGATAGTGTTTCTCATTTTAGACCATCTCTTGTCCCTGTCCAAGAATCATAAAATGGTTATAGAAACAAAAGCATACATAGTTTTGTAGAGCATAGATGTACCTAGTGAAGAAGAGGCCTTTCTTGTGAAGAGGAGAAGCTGAGATTGGAGAGGGAATGCTTCTGTTTGGAAGATCTTTGAATTTCTTTATCCCAACTTCTCTGCAAAGCTCTGCTTCTGCAATTATTATCAGTGGTTGCCTCCCCATCTGAAATCTGCACCATTTCTTGTAAGTTTAAATTGGACATGATCACTTGTCTTCATTTTTGTTTTTTTAGACACTTGTTGTGTTCATCAATCAGTCAACAAAAACCACAAGAGATGGCCATATAAACCATATTGAACCAAGTCATAAACCAAAATGTTTCAACTAAATTCAAACAGAAATATGTTTATAATCCATTTGGGTTCATTATTAATTATTCTTTTTTGGTTAAATTGGTTTCATTATTTTAAAATGACAAAAAAATGAAACTGAAGTGAAACTGACTAATTTTAGTGTTTTGTATCAAATCAAACTAAATAAACCGAATTCATTAAAAAGTTATATTTATTAATTATATATGTTAAAATACAATATTAACTATAGGGCTATGTTAAACAGAAGTTAAACACTATTTGCAGAGAGTTATTTTCCTTATTTAAAATCAAACTGACTCTAAACCAAAAATTACAGTAAACCGAACAAACTAAATTATAAATGATTTTTTTTTTTCGATTTCATGAAAACCGAAAAACTCAATTGTCCACTCAATACAGAATCAAGAGAGAAAGTGGTACCTGAAAATAGGCCCATATTGCTTAGCAAGAACGGAGAAAACATCAGGACCGTACTTAGCCATCAAGGGCAAGTGACCAACTAGAGGCATGGCGGTTGGACCGGGAACATTGCGTACGGACCAGGAGGGTCGGTACAAGTAAACCACAATCACAACCACTGCAAAAATCAAGAATGCAACAAGAGCTTCATGTTGTATCAATAATGGATCAAGAACTTCCCACCATAGATGTTGCGTCTTCATCTCTCTAACCTCTAAAGTTCTCTCTTCTTTAATTTAATGTGTGGGTTTGTTTGTTGGGTGGTTCATTAATTTATATAGTATTTGATGTGCTTTTGAAAAGTGGGTTCTACACTCTTTCCACTAGCCCACCTTTAAATAGTGTGGAACTATTTTGCTAGAAGACAAAATGCGTTGAAATTATTGGTCTACTAGAGTACTACCAAGTGATTGCATCGCACGGACTTTTTTTTTTTTTTTTTCGTCAAACACCATTTTATTAAGCTACGGATAAAGGATTCTCCGCTAAGGAGAGCCATACAGAAACCGATAAACTTACATGGGAATAAAAGTACTTACGGGCTGCTCTTTCTTGAACATCACGCAACACCCGGATAGATAAACAACAAAATAAGAAAATACAATTGAAAAAGGGATAAAAGGATCTAAAGATCCAAAGGATAACGAGTTCTAATACAGTCCCCCACCTATCGCAGACCAACACGTATGGGTGTCCAACGCAGTTCCAAAAATCCAATTTTAGACACGAGTCTAAAGTTTTTTTTCTTTTACGATTTATTTTTTAGACACTTTTGCCTTAGAACACCCATCTGGATCCACCGATAATGGTGGTCTAAGGGAATAAGTATTATATAAAAGAAAAAGACTTTATTTATTAAGTACACTCAAAATATTACAAAGACTCTCAAACTTTTTATGACATATTTACTAAGTCTAGGTATTTATAGTACACTTTGCACAAAAAAAAAAGGTATTTATAGTACAAAACTTAGGGAATATTACCTAGAATATATTTTAAGATATTTTACAACGTTCACACAAATTCTTGTGAGTGTGTGAGTATTTTCATGTTTGATAATTTTCATCTCATCTATTCGTATTCAAGGTGTAAATTGAAAAAATATTTAGATATATTCAAAAATAATTACGAAATTTAGTTTAATAATTTTAATATTAAATTTTAAGAATTTTGCTAGTTTAATAATTTTATTCAATTAATATGGATGTTAATTTTTTAAAAATATGATTTAATAAATAAATAGAAAATCTTTTGAGTATTGATTTTTGACCAATCTCCACCCATCGTTGTACCTTTGTTATACTGTCAAGTGCTTGTACTTGTCAAAGGGGTTTACCGTCAATTGGAGTAAGCCACGCTTCTACTTTTGGTCTCCTTTCTCCACCTTTTTTCTCTCTTTTATTTTTGGTCACCAATTTTTCTTCCTTTTTCAGTTGAAAAAATTATTGATGGTTCTTTGTTTTGTATTTTAATGGGTTAGGGAAAGAAATGGCTATATGTGGAGGAGATGGTTTTGAGTTTGGACTCTGGAATATTAACCATAATTGATAAAGGAGAAATTTGATCATTACATGACCATCTTTTTTGGAGTTAGTTGTTCTTTTTCTATCATGATATTATTAGATCATTGTCTTAAATTTTTTTTTTTTTTTTTTTTTTCATTGTCTTAATTTTTGGTTTAGAGTTAATAATTTTTGTTCAACTTTTGTATGTTCTTAAACTAATTTATAGTCCTTTTTTTTTTTTTTTGCTTTCATCTAGTTAAGTTTTTTTTATTCCAAATTTCTGTTCAATTTGTTAGATTTAGAGTTAAGCTGACATGTATGAAGTAAGGGTATTAATTTGAACCAAAGCTATTGGTGCAAATCACCGAATGTTTTCAATCCAGTGGTGAAAAATCTGGTCTCGTCATCAATGGAATCTCACTAACAAACGTAAATATCATTTCTAGATTTTTTTGTATATCGTTATTCTTCAATATGAATACGAGCTTTACTCAATTGCGTGATGTTTTTGGTATAATTCAGGACTTACTTGTTGGTTTAGTGTGTGACAAAGATGTACCTATAAAGTCACAGGAGTTAGATTCACTCTTGATGATGGAACATGACGAATTGACTGTAAAAAATGGTAAATATTTTTTTTTTTTTTTTTTTTTTTTTTTTTTTTTTTTTTTTTTTTGTTAAAAGGCCTCGATGGTAAACATTTTGATAAATGCAAGAGTTGTTTTTAGGTACAATGGTTAGTTTATGAAGTTTGTAATTGGTGTTGTTGTGCCTTTCTTATAGGGTGAATGAAACCTCCAAAAATGGGCGCAAAAACTTGGATGATATGATTTAAGACTATCTAAAGCAACCTGCTTGCACGTGAGTTTGAGTTTTCTGCACTTATTGCCGAGCAAGACAACAGTGGATACACATCGATGACATCACTCAACAATTGAAGATTTCAAAGAACAAGCTATAGTACGTAGGGCCGGTCCGGTTAAATCCGGGGCCGAATACGAAAAAAAGTTGGAGCATTTTTAAAAGATAGAAAATGCTAAAACATTTTTTTACCAATTATGGGGCATTAATAATTTTTATTTAATAGTTATTCTTATTTTTTGGACATTGTTTGCTAATTATAGGATTTGTTTTGCTAATTATGGGGTATTTTTTGCTATTTATTAGAATTTTTTTGTCAATTATGAGGCCTATTTTACAAATTCATTTTTGCTAATTTTGGAGTTTATTTCACTAATTGTGGGGCTTAAAAAA